GCAGGCTTTTGAGATTTGGTTACTATACTTTATAACAATAGAGTTCCGGTGAAGGTAAAGGTTTCTCCTGTCCAGTCGTGTCTGACTCTACAGGGCGATGCTCATCTGTGTTTGTTAGCTGAGGGAGCCAGTATTGTCCAAAGATGTCACGGGGCTAGCATGACGATATGCAAAGGCACACAAAATGCTGTCACCTTCCCATCAAAGTGGTACTTATTTATCTACTCACATTTGCATGCTTTCGAAGTTTTAGGTTGGCAAGAGCTGGGGCAAATAATAGGAGTTCATCCCTTCACTCAGCACTCAAGTCTCAAACCCAGAGGGTCAGCTTTGTGGCTGACAATCTCAGCATCTTTAACCGCTGAGCCATCGTGCTCCATAGAGAATTTCGGTAGTCCATGCATTGTCTGTTCCCTGACCTGGCCTGCCTCAAGGGCTGACAAATATAACTAGGCAGATCCCAATTCCAATTTGTATTATAGATGAAGCATGCTAGATTGTGTCGACAACAAAAATTGCATAAGACAATTATAAAAACTGTATTTTATAAGTGGTACAGCTGAAAACTTTAATCTGACTCAGTTGTGGGCTAGAGATGAGAAAATGACAATTTAATATGACAACATCATATTAAAACATTGAATTCATGCAATGGTTTGGGTGGCAACTGGGGGAACCTGAAGACAAACATGAATGGGATTCCAACAGCCTGAGCCCAGCCATCAAAAAGGATATGTCAAGATCAAGATTAAATTTATTTTGTTTTCTATTTCTTAAAAACAAAGACTGGAACCAGACAACCTCAGTATACCGTATTTACCCAAAAGGAAAAATGAAGTGGATTTTTTTTCTTCAAAAAATTATTTGGGGGAAAAATGGGTAATTTTACCTTAGAACCGAACAAAAAAAAAAAGGACAAGAACACAACTGTTGAAAATTTAGGAATTAGTACAGGGTGCAAATGGTTGCAAATACTGCAAAACCTGAATACTTAGTTAATATTCCTGCCCCCAACAATAAGCCACATTCCTTACAAGGACATTCCATGGAGTCACCTTAGCCATCGTTTTTTTTTTCTACTTTCCATTTTTCCAAATACAGCTACTCTGTCCAACTTATTTGTTTGCAGCACATGCCCAGTGTATATGAGTTTCTACTTGCTGATCATTATCTCAAGGGAGCAGTCAGCCAGTTTTATTTGGTCCAGGGCTGACTGATTCTTCTTGCAATCCATGGTAGTCTCAAATTCATAATCCAAAGACATCTACTATCTTCTTTCTTTCATTTTTTTTCAATGTCCATCTTTTACAACCAGATGGTACCATTGGAAAGATCAGTGCTTTAAACATTGTGTGTCACCAATTAAACATTTGTATCCTCTATTATCTTGCCTGTGCTTGCATTCCTCTTCAAGGAATTATTTCTCTTTACTTTTCTAGCACAGTCCATTTTTTTTAATATTCTTGACTCAACAAAAATAAAATTTGTCTAACATCTTCATTTCCTCACTGTCAACTGTGAATTGGCTAAGCTTGCTGACTGACATTACATTTTCACCTTAATTTTTAATATCTCAGCGTTTCACTTTTCATTGTTTTCACAATGAGCTCTTCTAATTCTTCTTTATTTTCAACAAGGTGATGTCATCTGTATATTGCCAATAATTAGATTTTTGATCTCTAATTTTGATCCAAGTTGTCACCTCTTCTAAACTTGTGATTATGTTTACCGTATAAGGTCATCCAATGTGGAAACAACATACGGTACATCCTTCTTTGTTTTGAACCACTTATTTTTTTAAAAAACCCATTCTTATAGTAGTTTATCATTTTTTGTGAGTGGTATTCCACATTTTGGTTTAATATATCAGTAGGGCTCTGCACACTGACTACATATATGTTCCCATACCTCTCTTAATTTAACCCAAGTATTTGACATTAGTAAGTTCCGGTCTATTCCACAATCTGCCCCGGAGGTGTCTTGGCCGAATGAACTGAATCTCTCCATTTGTTTCTTTTATATATCCATTTTGATTCTAATGTTGTCCTTACTGCCTGCATTGTTGCATTGGCTCTATGCAAATGTTTATGTGACTACAAATTCTCCTATTATTCCGATGTTTGCCTTTAATTAACTATTATAATACAGCATCCTTCCTTGATGCTGTATTTAGTATCTCTTGCAATTGTGTACTGGGTTATAACACATATTAGAAAGCCAGCTTTGTGTGGTGTTTAAGGCAAACTGTAAAGCTAGAAACCAGGAGATCATGAATTCTAATCCTGCCTTAAACACAAAGCCAATTGAGTGATCTTGAGCCACTCATTCTCTCTCAGCCCTAGGAAAGTGGCAATGGTAAACCACTTCTGAAAAACCTTGCCAAGAAAACTGCAGAGACTAGTCACTGCAGTCATTCAGAGTAAAAAAACAACAACCCTGACTCGAAGGAGCCCATCTTTTTTAGAAAACGACATACAGTACTTAACAATGTATTATTGCCTCCCTATGCCTTCATATGGATATAATTTTTATCATACAATCATCCATTTCTTACCACTGTGTGTGCACCCTTGCTTATTTCTTTATTTACTTGTGTTTCTATAGCAATGGATTCAACAAAAATGACTCCTGGTATTGGTGGTTTGCAACATAAAGGCCAATAAAAACGCAAGCATCACTAAAATAATGGCCATTTATTTTCCAAAACCTTCTGGGACATCTCTTTCTTTTAACAAATTCCACAAGACCAACAGTAAGTAACCAAATGTAACTTAAAGGTCTTATTTGATTCATAGTCAGTCTGACTTTACAAAAGCTTCTTAATAACTTCTCAAATTGTTCCTAAGCATCAGAAACCAGATATTCCTTCTCAGATTTAATTTTATTCTTTAGCACTTAAAGAACTGGTAATTTATACAAACGATATCTAGTAACTGAACAGATCAAGTGAAAGGATTGTAACTGTATTGTAATATTTTAATTTTTTTTTTGCCTCCAGCAAGGCAAATATTATCTGCATGGAGAGTCTTCCTCCCTTCCTCCCTCCCTCCCTTCCAGATTCAAGTCTCCCGGAAGAGACTTGCAAGGTTGGCACCTAGATAGTTCTTTCTACCTATAGAAAAAAGATATCCAGGTTATCCTATTTTTCTTGGTATGTCCTCCCAGAGAACACAGCACTGCATCCTTAGTCCTGAATTGTTCCTTTGTCTAAGGTTTCATCTACACAGGAGAACAGAAGATAGAGAAGCCAAAGCAAGGATAGATATTTACTGAATTGTACAAAGAGAATAGAGATTAAGCTCTGACTATGATCTCATTGCTCTGCACTTACAAAATATTTCAGCCCTGTTTGTCTCTAGGTAAAATTCTTGCAGATTTCCATCAAGGTCATCTTCCCTACTGTCTAGATTGCCTATATAGACTCTAGGCAACACGCGCAGTAGTGAAGCTGGTATTCGTAGCTGATTTGAGGATTTCTTAGTGCGGAGTCTGCCACCATCATCATGCCAGGTAAATGTTATCTGCTTTCTGTGTTTTCACAGGCATTTCAGCACCTGCTTACTAAATAGTTTGACATCTGGTGACTTCATGGGCGTGCCCATGAAAGCAGGGGAGGGTCTTGGGATTTGTTGATAGTCTCCCATTCAAATATCAATATAGTCCTATCTTGCTCAATTTCTTAAAATACCATTTTGACTTGTCGGCTATTTTGAACCGAACAGCATCATAAAGATGCTGAATTTCTGCATTCTTCCTAGAGTGCCATTTCCCTTGTTCTACGGATGACTATGCTTGGGAAGAAAAATCTGCATATTGGAACAGACTCAAAACAACAACAAAAAAAAAACCCACCAGTTTCTGTAACGAATTGTTATTGCTACTGAAGGAATATAGTGGGCAAGTTACAGCAGGCCATTAATTAAAAGGCAATATTTGGAAGCCACGCAGAGCTCAAGCTGTCCCTCCCCACATTTTAACAGCTGCGGGTTAACGACAAACTCCGTTTTCCAAGAATGAAGAGGCACCTGTTGATTTCCCACCCACCGAGTTAGAGGTAAACGCGCGAAGAGCCCTGCCAATAAAAGCGCTCCTGCCGTCTTTTGGCCACCAAAGTTGAGCCATCTGCATTTCAGTTCCCAGTATCTCCACCCAGCAGCAGCCGCCCCCCCCCCAAAAAAACACCTCCACTGCCTGAGGGACCAAGTGTCCCACTCGGCGCCCTTGCTCCCCTCTGCGCGGGATCAGCGGGGCTTTCCCTAGAAGTCAATGAGATTCAAGCCGGCGGGGGGGGGGGGGGAGAAGGCAGCGAGTTGAGGGTCTGCCGGGTGTTGCAACACCGCCTCCTTCCCGTCCTCCCTCCCCTCCTCTCTTCGGGCTCTCCAAGGCTCGTCAGAGGCCTACGGCCCCAACCTCAAGGCAGCCGCGACGAGGGGCGGCGAGCGGGGGAGAGAAGTTCTAGAGGCGGGCACGTGCGTCGCCAAACTCGCCGCGCACCTCCGCGACTTGCTCGGCGGCGAAACGCTCCGTTCGGCTTCCTCCTTCAGGCAAGCACCTGCTACCGCCGCCGCCGCCGCCGCTGCTGCAGCGGCCAAGGGAGGGCCGGCTTCAGTGTTTCCTGTGGAAATCCCGGAGCATTCAGCTCCTCCTCTCGATTCCTCCCCACCCCCGCGCGTGTTTGCGGGTTGGGGACTGAGGAAGGAAGGGAGGAAGGAGCAGAGCTGTTGGCTGTTGTCGCTTCTCCCTTCTGCGTCTGACCGCCGCCCCCCTCCCCCTGCCCGACCGCCTTGTGGCTTTCGGCCGCTCGGCTTTGGCGTCCCGGCGCGGCCACCCCCCCCCCCTCCGGCTTCCAGGAGCAGCGTTCTTCCGAGCCCGCTTCTGGACCGGCCGATCTCCCCCCACCCCACCCCGCGCGCGCGCGCGCCCCCCTTTGCGTCTCCGGAGGGGAGGAAAGAGTGGGCAGCGGGGAGGGGGGGTCGCCGAGCTCCCGCAGTGCTTCTCCGATGGGCAGTTTGCTGAGCGGAGTCAGCTTCAAGGAGCCCACCACGGTGGAGGACTGTGACTCGACCTGGGAGACGGATTCGGAGCCGGAGCTGCAGGACCCCGGCGGGGAAGAAGGGCCACCGCTGGAGCAGGAGGGCGGCGGCGGCGGCGAGGGCGACGACGACCCAGCGGATGACCGGCAGCAGCGGCGGCGACAGCAACAGCAGCAGCAGCAGCCGCCGCCGCCAGAGGAACCGCTCCCTGCGACAGGCGACCGGCCGGAAGCCGCCGAGAACCGCGAAGGGGCTGCCGTGGAAGAGGAGAAGGAGGAGGTGGAGAAGGAGGAGGAGGAGAAGGCAGGAGGAGACGGGGTGGCCGAAGAAGACGAAGCCGAGGGCAGGGAGCAGGGAGAGACCGAAGCCCCCGGGCCCGAACAGGTAACCCAGGACCCCTGCAAACTTCTGCCGGGGGTTGGCGGGCGGAGGGGCGCGCTGGACGCGGGGCCGTTGGCGCTCACCTTGGAAAGCGCCGGGGTCTCTCCAAGGTTGGCCGCCGCTTCCCTGTGCGGGCTTGCCACGGATGGCGGGGCGCGGAAGCCAAGGTTACAAGGCTCCCCGTGGGATTTCGGACTCCTTTTCTCCCGCACCCTTGCTTTTCTCCTTCGCTGCCTCCCTCCCCACCCCTGGAAATATTTGCATGCTTTGTGACTTGGAAGCTAGGCGTGCCTATAGCATCCCCACCACCACCACCACCACCCCGGTGTTAGAAAATGGGCTCGACGGGTAGGCGAGGTTGAGGGAAATGCCCGGAGCGTGGGGTGAGTTTGCAATCTCTTGCCCCAGCCTGGTAATTCCGTTTAGGTTTGGTTTTCCCTTCCTGTTGCGCCCGTGCCGGGGTGTGGAAAAGGGGAGCTGTTGTAGAGGGAGGTTGGGGTTTGTTGCATTCCTCCTTGGCAGACTGAACAAACCGGCCTGGTGTCCTCTGTTGAAAAGGTCCTGACGATTTTAACGGTTAAGAATCGCAAGACATGCCTAATCCTAGTTGCTTTCCCTCTGCAACCTCTACTTCAGAGAATCGTGTGTGTGAAGACAAAATGCAGTTTCAGAACTGGGATTTGCTTGAGGGTCTGACGGTTGAGCGCACCATCTCTATGCTTTTACCTATGGGATACGAGTTTCACTGTCTAGATAAACTAAAATAACTAATAAAAGAGCCTTCAAGAGAGATAATATATTGGGGTTCTCTCCTGCTTTTATCAAATTCTCTGATGGTTTCTTTTCTTTTTTAAAAAAAACCCCTCAAAATGGATATATTTTTATTTTTATACTCTTCTGGCAGGAGGTTAGTTTTCAATAGTGTTTTCAATTCACAATCTTAACAGCATGTTAAAAGAAAAAGTAATCACATGACTATTTGAATACAGAATGTTAGAATGACTGCTGTAAAGTATAGGAGTATAGGAAACAGCCAAATTTCAGAGAACTTTACATTCAAGTTTCTCCTAGGCACATACATACACAGGGATATATAGGGATGTGTGTGTGTCTGTGTGTGTGTTCTGGTTGCACATTGGAAACATCTGTCTGGATCATTCCAATAAGTGCTTTGCAGTGCAATCCTGTATAGGTCTCAACAGGAAGTCCCACTAAATTTAATGGACATACACATAAATGATGTCTTTTGGATAGAGATACATTTTTAATTAAAACATTTCTGGAATTTAACAAAGGACAAAAATATATAATAAGAAATCTGTATCATTTTGTGTGTTGATAGAATTCAGAGATTAGCATTTTTTTCTTAAAATATGGAAAGAAAACATTCTATAAAAAGGCTGTACTGTACACTTTTCACTATTTATATTTAATAATTATTTTCCAGCAGTTCTGTCTTCTGTACACATCTCCTTTGGTTTTTGTTTTATTAAACTTGAAAAATTATAACAGTATTGCAGTTTTCAAACTATGATGTAGTTTCTAAATTTGAATTTTAGGTGTAAGAAAACTTAATTTTGAAAATATAACTTCTACACTGAATTACGAGTTCCTGTGCAACTACTACTCTTCACTCTACTTCACAACATCAGTGCATTTAAATTACTGCATCCTTTTTAAAAAAAAACATTATAGATGCTTTAAATAGTTCACCTTTTGATCATGGGTAGAAAGGCAGGATATATACACAGTTGCTATTGAGAAAACTTCATAGATGAGTCCACAAAGTATTCAAGATTTGAATTCAACTTGGATTTCACTTGAGTTGACTGTACCAAATAATCTGTGGAACTGTGTTTGCATTAGGCTTAAGGACGTTGGGATTATTCAGGCAAAAGACTGGCATTATAAACTTGCTACCTTTCTTCTGGCATGCACTTCTATTTCAGTAATCATTTTAAATCCACTTGCATAATGTTAATGGTACTAGAATCATTTTGTAATCCTCACTCATTTCTTTCATTTACCACATACTAGTTTGTAAGGGGCTGGATGCTAGTCGAAACCTGGCCACTGAAAGTAACCACTGCCCAGAAATACTGAGAGAACAAAACACAATTTATAGCTAAAGATTGGTATTAACTATGTCTTTGGTAATAGCTATATATTTCTTAAAAGATGCATCCCCAAGAAACACATGCATAAAACAGTCTTCATTCCAAGTTGTCTGCAATAGGTAGATATTTTAATTCAACATTGCCCAATTCCCAGCTACTCTAGATAATGAGAAAAATAATTAGTGTTACTTTAATTGTAAAAGAAACTAATAAAACTGTTACAGAAATAATAAGATTATAATGCAGTACAATACACAATACAGTAATAATGCAGCCTGGGCATCTTCTTATGTAGTTGGTAAAGTTCCTGACTAGCTCAATATTGTTGAGATGCAGAGATGCAAATCTCTCTCTCAGATTTATTCTGGATCTCTGGGAGGCTCCAGTCTGTAAAAATGATGGATAATGATTAACGTGCTTTATCTAATACAATGTGGTTAAGAATAGAAGTATGACTAATGAAAAGAAGAGCCACTAAAACAGAATGGATGCCAGCCTGTGTGCACTTACGTGGGAGTAAGCCTTCTTGAAAACAATGTGTCTGATTTCTGAATAGATATACTGTATGGCAGCATTGCACTGTAAGGATGCTTATTATTTCCTAATCTGCAGCTCTGAACCAAACCCCAGCTGAAGTCTGTGTGAATGCTGCTAACATCAGAAAACATCAACCCTGATTCTGGATATGCAGTTCCATATTCTTTCTTAAACCCTCCATAAATAGTTTAAAGTCTTCATTCAAGCGTTTTTAATATTTACAGATATTTCAATCAAAGTGTTTATTGCACTAGTGCAGGGGTAGGCAACCTTGGCTCTTTTATGACTCGTGGACTTCAACTCCCAGAATTCCTGAGCCAGCCAAGCTCAGGAATTCTGGGAGTTGAAGTCCACGAGTCATAAAAGAGCCAAGGTTGCCTACCCCTGCACTAGTGTCAGTTTAGGGCACCAGGCAATACACATGCACATCTTATTTAATGTCTTGATGCCCATCAGAATAACTAATAAGGTAGTCCTTGACTTATGACTACACTTGAGCCCAAAATTTCTGTTGCTAAGCGTGATGGTTGTTGAAAGAGTTTTGCCTCATTTTACGACCTTTCTTGACACAGCTGTTAAGTGAATCACTGCAGTTGAGTTAGTAACACAGTTGTTAAGTGAATCTGGCTTCCCCCATTGACTTTGCTTGTCAGGAGGTTGCAAAAGGTGACCCTGCAATACTGCAACTGTCTTAATATGAACTATTTGCCAAGCCTCTGAATTTTGACCATGCAACCACGGATATGCTGCAACGGTCTTAAGTGGGAAAAATGGTCTTAAGTCACTTTTTTCAGTGCCGTTGTAATTTCATACTGTCACTAAATGAATGGTTGTAAGTCAAGGACAACCTGTAGTTTAGAAAACCTAATTTGTTTGTGTCATCATCAGTCCCACTTTCTCTGTATGAAAGATAAACAAGAATATGGGTTCAATCACTAGAGCGTTTATGGTATGTTATTTTGTTTAGGGAGATTTTCCTCTTGTTGGATAAAATACATGCAACATCATGTTAAAAGGAAAAGTTACTTTGAACCAAATTTCACTGGTGAGTTCATAGACACATTAATATAATTTTCTTGGCAACTGTAGATAACTTGGTTCCCATTGGTTTCTTCTGGGATAGATTTTTAATTTTTGCAATCTAGCCCAGGGGTGCTCAACCGCCGGTCCGTGGACCGGTACCGGTCCACAGCATGCCAGCAACCGGGCCACACAAACAAGAAAAGCCCTGTCCGCGAGATGCAGGCAACACACAAAACCACACCCCCTCCAGTCCGTAGAAAAACCTCTCGTCATGTAACCGGTCCCTGGTGCCCAAAAGGTTGGGGACTTCTGATCTAGTCTACAACCTTGCTATTTCTTCGTGACCATTTTTTTGCCTAAATCAGCCGAGGGCAGAAAATGGCAGTGGCATCAAATAGGTTCTCAAGAATACAAGAAAGACACCTATTTTTAAAGTATTTATCTTCTATAGATATTGTCAGGAAAATATTTGGTGATTACAAGCACATAATTACAAAACTTCATGTGCCCCTACACTTAATTGATTAGGTCTGTGTGTGTAAATGGAGTAGGAAATGAATGGTGCAAAAATGTTGAACAATTCAGTTGGTTTGGAATTGCCGTAGTTAATGTTTTGATCCAGTGTCTCAGTCCTACACCCACAACTTACTGCACATATTAAAATGAGGTCCACAGTATAATAAGGAAATGAAATAATCCTTTGTGAACAGGCTTGTTTGTATCTGTTGTTTTATGCTGTTTATTCAAGTTAGCTTTGAGTAGGGGAACAGGTGCACCAAGGTATATTGCAGTTCTGTGTTTTTAAGGTTCATGCATTAGATTCCTCTCTAAAATTTGATTCACCTTTTTCCAGATAACGAGTGTGTGTTTCCAGCTTCGACTTGGCAATATTCAACTTTACACTGCTATTTTAAAGTTTATTGTGTTGAATTTTGTGAAGCTTTCTCCAGTGGAAGCCTGTCTCCTTTAGTATGCAGAAAAAGATTTAGGAGTTGTTTTCATAGTAGTTCTCTGCATGTGAACAGTTCCAACGTTTTAAAAATATTTCTCAGACTATGAGGCATGATTACTGACAAACAGTAATGGCAAACAGTGACATTCCAAAGATTGCTCTGAGATTTCACAGCCAATTCTGTATATTTGAATATTGTTTTACAAAAGTCTAACTGTACTCTAGCCATTGCCTGGCACAAAAGACTCTTACCTCCTACAGCTTTCATATTGATCTTAATGTTATCTGTTTTTTAAACTGAGATACAATTTTGCAAACTTAGCTTTTTAGTTAAGTTTTTTCCAATACGATGTAACTGTACAATATGATTTCTGCTCCTGATCTCTTTGTAACTCACCTCATACTTTCTGAGATTTGTTCTGAAGCATCTCCAAACCTCCAGAACAGAGAAAGTGTAGCTTGTTCTATCGACACAAACCAACATCAACAGCACAAAAATTCACTGAATCCTTCACCTCTGGTGAGATGGACAGCATACTGGATGGATAGATAAGATAAGATAAGATAAGATAAGATAAGATAAGATAAGATAAGATAAGATAAGATAAGATAAGATAAGATAAGATAGATATCACATTTTATAAGCTATTAGTGTATGATTTTTTCCATGGATGATAATTATTTTCAGTTGGTTCAGATAGTCCTTAACTTATGACCACAATTGAGCCCAAAATTTCTGTTGCTAAGTGAGACAGTTGTTAAGTGAGATTTGCTGCATTTTACGATCTTTCTTGCCACAATTGTTAAGTGAATCACTGCAGTTGTTAGGTTAGCAACACGGTTGTTAAATGAATCTGGCTTCCTCATTGACTTTGCTTGTCAGAAAGTCACAAAAGGTGATCACATGAACCCAGAACATTACAACTGTCATAAATACGAGTCAGTTGCCAAGCATCTGGATTTTGATCACATGACCATGAGGATTCTGGAACGGTGTGAAAAACCTTCATAAATCACTTTTTTTCAATGCTGTTGTAACTTTGAACGGTCATTGAATGAACTGTTATAAGTCGAGGACTACCTGTATTCCATTTGATGGCATCAGTTCTGTCATATTTCCATGTTATGAGATACTTAGAGTGTCTAAAATAGCTTAGTTATTGGAAGGTATTGAATGACACCATTTGGACTCACACAGATCACAAAGCTCCTTTAAATTGATGTAAGTTGTAGCATTTGGCTATCCATGAACAATTACTTTAGTTAGCTTTATTATGCTGCTTCAGGACCAGAAATTGTCACTTCATTCATTCATTCATTCATTCATTCGGTCGGTCGGTCGGTCGGTCAATTTCTATAGCTGCTCATCTCAGTCAATGGCTCTGGGTGACTTACAGTTCAAAAAATATTACGATAAAAATACTAAAAACATTTTAAAACAATAAAAAATTTAAAAAACAAAAACATCCAAAATAAATACACATGTAGCTGAGATACTTGGCCAGTTAGCAATAAAGTTAGGAAAAGCTGGGGGGGGGGGCATTCAGCACCTCAGGCTCAGGAGCATAGGCAGGTTATTAGGGCCTTAACGAAAGGCTGGCAAGGTTGGGGCCATTCTAATCTCTAAAGCAGAGGTCTCCAACCTTTCTGGGCTCGCGGCCCAGAGGGAAGGAGACCACTAGCAGCCCCATTCACGCATTCGCAAATGGGCTGCATACACTCCCCCAGCGCTAGCCCCATTCGTGCCCATGTGCATGGGCAAATGGGGCCATGGACGCTAGCATGAGTGGTGGGGAGTGCGCGCACACATGTGCATGCACCAGCCAGCCATTCCCATAGGTTGGGGACCCCTGCTGTAAAGGAAGGACGTTTCAAACAACAGAGGCCACTGTAGGAAAAGCTCATCTTGTCCCCATCAGTCGACACTCTTTGGCTGATGGATATGCAGCATGCTCATTCGGGTAGATTGATTTGGATAAATAGAGACTCTTGGAAAAGGCGTTCCCACGGATAACCCCATTAATATTCCCCCCGGATAACCTCATTAATATTCCCCCCATCCCAATTGAAGAAAAAATATTAGTAACCAGCAGATTATAGACAAGCATTCTAAGTATCTTAATATTCTAGAAGAAGAGTTGAGAAAAAAAGAAATTTATCAAATATTTTAAAAGCTGTATCTAGAACTAAGATCATAATAATGCAACATAATTCTTACATGTTTTTTAAATTTGTTAATAAAGAAATATGTCATGTTAATTTGTAATAAAGAACAGTTTCATTCTTTTAACATAACTGCTCAGTGATTACTCAAACATTGGTGCTTAGTTGTACTGACTTAATCTTCCCAGGATTTTGCAGGACTGCCTGCAAAGACACAGTTATATGAAAATTATATGACAATGAATATGTGATAGTTCCTACATTAATTAGATACATACAGGTCTTCTGATTCCCATAATGACAGTGGTTTCAAAAAGTAGGAATACCACAATAAAATCTATAATATTTACATCTTGGTTTATATAAAAACTGGGTTCATGTCAGGTACATACAACCAGACCCTCATGTGTGACCGTCTAGCTATTTTATTGTTCTATGCCTAATTCATAGGAATCTCTCCAGACTGACAGCTTTCACCTGGGAAAGACTAGATAAGGTTCAAATGCATTGGAGATGGGGGTCAGATCTTGCCCTCTTGTGTTTACATAATGAGTCCAGACTAATTCCCTGCTGGAATTGGGACAGTTGCTCTCGAATAACTATTTATTCAATTTCTTCAACCACTCTCTTACACTGTTTAGCTTAGTATGTTACAGTCTAGATCAGGAGTAGGCAACCTTGGCTCTTTTATGACTCGTGGACTTCAACTCCCAGAATTCCTGAGCCAGCCATGCTGGCTCAGAAATTCTGGGAGTTGAAGTCCATGAGTCATAAAAGAGTCAAGGTTGCCTACCCCTGGTCTAGATTATAAGCATTGTATGCGACTTAGCACAGTGTATAATCTTAACCCAAGCTAGTTTGCTCAAGTAACTTTTTTTTAGAGAAGTAACCAGACTGAATAGAATGGGAAACATCAAATCTTCGTCTTGAAGACAAATAAGATTCCTTGAAAAAGCTTACTGATACACATGGTTGTAAAACTTCCAGGTTGCCTACTGGTGGTGTTCATTAACATTTTGTTGGAGCAGTCATACCTGGAATTGGTAGACATCAAGTAGAGTTCTTTTGGAAGATCCTCCAAACTGCAGGAGATCTGGGGTGGAGGATATAAGAATCATGGTTGGAGAGGAACTCAGAAACAAAAGAAAAAGAACCAGGGTGGGAAAATGGAAGGGTGGAGATGTATAAATAATTCAAGTGGTGATGTAGAAATAATATTACGTTTGTGCTGCCAAATGTTCCATATACAGGTAGTCCTCAACTTGCAACCATTTATTTAGTGATTGTGTGAAATTACAGTGGCACTGAAAAAAAGTAATTTATGACCGATTCTCGCTCTTAGGCTTGCTATAATACAGTGATGGCGAACCTTTTAGAGACCCGAGTGCCCAAAACCTGGCCCCACCCCCTGCCCCACCTCCTGCTCTGTCCCCCCATCCCCCTGCCTGCCCACAGGACCCGTTCTGCCCCCCCATCCCCCAGCCTGCCCACAGGATCACTCACCGCCTCCAGGGCCTGCCACAGATCGGCCAGGCAGCCCAGCAGCGCTATGGCGGCCACACCCTCTGCCCGTGCCCTGCAGCATCAACTGCATGATGGGATGTGAGGGCAGAGTCTTGTCTATGCTGCCTGGCTGCCATGTCCTTGGCTGCGCTGCTCCATGTGGGCCACACACAAGGGCGACTCTCCTTCAGGGGGGCTGCTGGAGAGGAGGGGGTCGCGGGGGAGGCAAGGCTGGGGCAACGGCATGTGTGCCCACAGAGGGCTCTGAGTGCCGCCTCTGGCACCCGTGCCATAGGTTCGCCACCACTGCTATAGTATATTCCCCTCGACTCATTTAACAACCATCTTCTTAGCAATGGAAATTCCAGTCCCAATTGTGGTCGTAAATCGAGGATTACCGGTATGAGGATTTACCTTAAATGGTTATGCTCATTCTGCCGCTTCTCACTGAGATTTTTTTTCTCTTTCAGGGGGATGATTCAGTTGATGCAACGGCTAAACCAAAGAGAAGTTTTTATGCTGCAAGAGACTTATATAAATATCGTCATCAATATCCAGTAAGAACATTTTGTATTCTGGGAGCTTTTATTAAAATAAAGGCTTTTGCAGTTCCAGTGGAGACCCTTAATTTTTTAGAAAAAAATTATAGTGGCCTTGAAAGATGGATAATGGGAGATATTGGTGAACTCTACCAGCCCCCATAATTGCCATTTTGATGGGGGTTATTAAAATATAACTATATTTTATTTCAAATGTTTATTGGTTAATTGTTTTTCTTAATGACACCTGTATAGAGAACTCAACAGCAAATGAATTATATAACACAACTCTTACAGTGCAATTACTAATTTGCCTCTGTTACATATCACATGGAAATAAAAAAAAATGACAAACTAAAAAAGAAACTGAAATGAAAAGAGCTTGTAATCACTTTACCACTGATTTTATGTATCAGCTATTTTAGATATATGTTTACTTGAAAGCAAGATTTTTTTTTTAACTTCAGTGGTTTTCTTTATTTTGTGAACATGTTTTAGATTCATTGATTGATTATGTGTCATCAAGTTCAACTCCTGGCAACCACTTAGATATACTCTTATGTTTCTGAGATTGTTTAAGAGATTTTACTTAAAGCTAAATAGGGCAATTCTACACTGTAAGTAACTATTCAAAAATCAGTCTTGCTCAACTTAGTGAGACTCACTTCTAAATAAGGGAGTATAGGATGGTAGCCTAATAATTCATACTATATACCAAGATTAATACTAGACCAACAATGAAGCAGTAAAGAATACCCTGATTAAAGAACCATCAAGAGCATACCCACCAACAGGAGATGCTATGAGTATAAAAATAGAAAGCAAGCCCTTCTAGCACTGATGATGTTACATAGTTGGGTAATTAAATGTCTGCAAGAAAACAACCAAGCTCAGAGAGCACCAAGGAACCCACAGTTCATCCCTGAGCTACAAATATTCTCTTCTATTAGTAACTCAAATTATACATTTACAATTATTATATATTTTTGGCTTATCTATGATATCTATGTGATATCAAATTGCCTAAAAAGTTTAATCTGTCTATCTTGTTACATTTTATCCATCTATCTTGTTTCTAGTCTAGTCTAGCAAAATTGTACTTTGTATTACGTAAAAACATACCTGTAATAATTTTGGTTATAGACTATTTCTTATGGAGTATTTTTGCATTTGTCTTCCTTTCTGCTCAGCAGAACTTTAAAGAATTGAGATACCAGAATGATTTGTGCAACCTCCGCTTTTACAAGAACAAAATTCCCTTTAAACCTGATGGTAAGTAACTGGTACCATGATCAATGTATCATTTATACCTAGTTCAATTTCAGATGTATATAAATCAGATGGCCCAAACTAGTTCTATTTTGCATTTGATTTTATAGATCTGTATTTGTGCATATTGAGATGGAAATAAGACATGTTAAGTTGAGTTTATTTCTCCTTCACCTTGTTTGCAAGGATTCTCATCATGACTTTATCGCCAAAATATGTCTTTGAGGCATTACCATGAGTTTAAGACTCAGAACATCAATGTGTGTGACTGCAATGAGGATTTGCTGTCCTACATGATGGAGGAAAGAAGTGATTCAGCTGTGATTCACCTTAGGTTTCTAGAAGTTTTAGGAAATCTCATGCCCTTTTGAAGGTCTTTGAGACACCATGATTCTAAAGTTAGCTTTGCATCACTGAGAGTCTGTGTACTTAGTATCATAGAATCATAGAGATGGAAGGGACCTTGGTGGTCTTCAACAGGTAAAGAAGGGTAAAGGACATTGTTTGATCTTTGGCAATAGTTAATCCCATATATTTCCTTGTCCTTCAACCATTGAAAGAATATTAATGTGTTCATTTTAACAATAAGTACTAAAACAATTAAATACTAAACAATAAGTACTAAAACTAATCTAAAAATTGCTTTTTTTAGATTTTTACTTGTACTTACATTTACACTGAATTCCTGAATGGTATTTAGAAGGTTATGTTGCTTGGTATATTTATAGGGGTTTATATCGAAGAGGTCCTGAATAAATGGAAAGGAGATTATGAAAAGTTGGAACACAATCACACTTACATACAATGGTTGGTATCTTTTACTTTTTAATTTCTTTTTAATAAATTGGTTAAAGTCATTTCAGTTTCAGAAAAACTTGTAAATCTGTTTTAAATGTAGGCTGTTTCCACTCAGAGAGCAAGGACTGAATTTCTATGCAAAAGAATTAACAACCTGTGAAATTGAGGTAAAGCATCTAATTCATAGTGTAATGCTAATATTTAATCATTTGAACTAGAATAACTTTGTATATTTAATGCTCTTGGTGTTTGTGTGTTCTTGCAAAAAAATCTGTTACAGGAGTTCAAAAAAACGAAAGAAGCGATCCGAAGATTCCTGTTAGCTTACAAGTTGATGCTGGAGTTTTTTGGGATAAAATTAATCGATAAAACTGGGAATGTGGCACGAGCTGCTAACTGGCAAGAAAGATTCCAGCACTTGAATGAGTAAGTAAGGTCTTCAGAAGATGCTTGATTCTCTCCAGATTTGTTTTTCTAAGCAGTTATTACACTTTTCTTCCCCTCTTGGTCGTAAGTTGTGATGGTTGTAAAATAGGGTGGTCATTAAGCAAACCAGTGGTTCACTATGGGCACAGTTTTGCTAAAAACAGATGTACAGTAAGTGCCAATTTTTTGGCAAAAATGTAATTATGTGACTGTGGAACGCTACAAACGGACATAAATGTGGACATGTTGCCAAGTGCCTAAAGTTTGGTCACATGACCATGGGAGGAACACAACCGTTCAGACTTCAAATCCAGGTCGTAAGTAGCCCCAAGTTAGATCCGTTAGAACTGTAAGTGGTCATAAGTCAAGGAGTACATGTATGAAGCTACTCAATGATATCAAAGGCAGAGGAAGTAGGCAAGATTTATCTTGTTTCCTCACCTTTTTTTCTGAATGCAATTCTCTTCTTTTCATATAGTAACATTCTCTCCCACATTAAAAAAAATAGAAAGAGATGCAGCTGTAATATCAGTTTTATTAAGATGTAGAATACAATGAATACATATTCTATATCTGTATGAGATTAGAAAGGCACTTCTGGGAAACATGGGACTGTTTCCATAATGGAGACCCTGAATACTTGTCCCTCATTTGTTGATCATGATATTTGGCTTGAACAGTGATATTGTAACCATAACCTTTGCTTGTCTATGCATCATTGGCTGTGCCTAGGATAAGCAAATGTTGGAAGGCAGGTTCAAGAGGTTATACCTCTCAGACAGAATGCAGTTAGCAATGGTGCTAATTTTCTCCAAAGTCTTTTAGGAAGAATAAATTCAAGTGTTGTCCTTGACTCGGCAGCAGCATAAAAGTTAGAAAGACTAAACTATTTCTCAGCTAAATGTTACAGACCTAACCTGATCTGAATACTATCTGTTCAGGGACCAGGATGTTCTCCAGAAGCATCTGGTTCAACTGCTTCTAACTATTCACTTTGTTGTTTTAACTTCTATATTCATGCCATAGTCATGGCCTTTGCTGAGCTAGATTTTTGTCCTCCATCTCTTGCCCATTGATCAATTTCCATTCTTACTTACAAGAATCAATCATACAGATTATGCAGCCGTCCCATTTATGACACATACCGGCTCTATAGATGCTTAGCAGCACTGGTGATCTTCTGCTTTAGGAAATCTCTTGAAATTAACTATTCAAAAATAGGTTTTGGTCTCAACTAGGTAGAAAATTAATAATAGAGCATTTGTCCAAATTAAGGACTTGATATTTTACTATTTAATCATTCATTTCTAACTTTCCGCTGTTGGAATAATCAATTATATGAATGTTGTATAAGAGCCCCCCAGTGGGATACTTAAATATACAAACCATCAAATCAATAATTGCATTCCTGCAGCCATTAAATTATATAAAGCCAAGATTGTGGGCTTGCTGATATATGGTGCCCAGGTATAGGTTTACCCCCCTCTCTTGGAAGCTATTCAGTCTATACTTCTAAAAACTGTTCTTCAGATTCCTCTCTCAACCTTCAAAGCCCTTACATGGTATGTATGGCTGTATCTCACTTGAGGCCTGCCTAAGAATATGCCATGTCAGTTTCTCATTGAAAATAATGTTCTGGAGAGCATCTGTAGGCAGGCAAACTGACCCTGATTTGCTATATTGTGGACCACCAAAGCTTTGATTATGGAGGATTTGGCATTTAGGTCTTCAACATGACAAGAGCTGAATTTACTCATTTTCATTATCACGCAATTGCTGATCCCTCTTGGACAATCCTTAGACATTTTTATAACATTTTGCATGTTCCTCACAGGAGGGTTCTTTTTTTACATTGGCCTAAAATGACGTATTGCCTATTAGGATGGCAATAGGCAGATACATTAGTCTTCCGTATGATAACCATATTTGTGTATGTTCAAACACGGAGGATGAGTCACTGAGTTATATTCTGTTAAATTGCTATTCACTCACTCATAACATTTGGCAAAAACCCGGTTGTCGGAAATCTTAGTCATTTGACTAATAGGTTTCTGATTTCCCTCTGCAAAAGCAATATGGCAACCGCTAAAAAGGTTGCCAAGTTTTTAACAACTCTAGCTTGCAGAAATTCACCTGATACCCCCTTTTTAGTACCAATTGTTTCAAATCCAGTTTATCATATAGTTCTAAGTTCTCTTTTCGTTGTTTATCGGTCTCTGACATCGGTCAATCAAGAAAAGAGGGGGGTTCAAGATAGGAATGCTGCTTTTGTCAGCTTTTATATTCCATAACATGTATAAGCAGATGATTGAAATTTATCTATCAAGGTGAGACTTTTCTTTTGATACTTGATATTTAGTCCTTCTTTTGTCAAGGGTACCAGCAGTGATGATTTTTCAGCTATATTTTTTCCTCCTGAGATTTTTTTTTTCCAACTGTCATTTTGAATCCGGTTTATCTTTCTTTGCAGATCCCAACATAATTACCTGAGAATCACCCGGATTCTGAAGAGCCTCGGTGAACTTGGTTATGAGAGTTTCAAGCCTCCTCTTGTGAAATTGATTCTTCACGAGGCTCTGGTGGAAGAAACCATCCCCAATATTAAACAGAGTGCTCTGGAATATTTTGTGTACACCATTAGAGATCGAAGAGAGAGGAGAAAGCTCCTACGGTTTGCCCAACAGCACTACACGCCTTCTGACCATTTCATATGGGGGCCACCGAGGAAACAGAAGCCGGAAGGAAGCAAACCAAGTAAAAAGCTGGCTTCACCCGTGTCCCTTCGTAACAGCTCTACTTGTAAACATAAAAAGACAAAAGATCTTAAGAACGTGTCTGAAATTTGTAACTCGAGGAATAAAACCAATGACGAGAAAAAGACAGAGCATATTAAAAATGGTACAGATAGTGATCAGAGTAAGAAAACCAGCTCCCCCGAAGTTGTTAAGCAGGGCAGTGTGGTAAAAAATAGTAGTGCTGAGTGTCAGAACTCTAAAATGGACATTGTCGAGCCTTTGAATCAGAAGGAGACTATTTCTCACTTAAAAAAACATAAAGGCAAAAACAAGGAAAACGTTAGCCAAGACTGCAAACATTTGGAAGATACAGAAAAAGATTCATGTGAGACTAAAAACAATTCAACAAATATGTCATCAGATATGCAAGACAATATATGTAAGGATAAAAACCTGGCAAGCTCATCTGTAAGAAATAAAGAGTGAAATCTTCTACTGCTTGTGACAAAATGGTTTTTCACTTGTAGAAAATTGTTAAGGAACGAGAAGAGGTCTTTGATATTGGATCCAGTGCTGGCTACATCAGCTTAGCCTCTGTGGGGCTGTGGCTTCTTTAATTTGTTCACGGTTTGTACTTCTCCCAGCTGTGTATTAAGCTTACAAACTGCATATTGCTTAAGTCCAAGAAAAAAAACTTCCTTTAAATCTGTTTCCTATGCATAAAAATCTAACATTTATTTTTATTGTGTATTTTATTTAAACTCTTTTAATTAACTCTTAAGGTTTTGTTTTCAAAATAAGGATGCAAGATAGACTTCCAAGGAGCCAAAGTTAGTGTCTCTTCAGCAGATAACTATGCTAATATTTAGAGTGCCTACCACTGCTTAAAAATTGGAATTTAGACGTATTCTTATTTAACACAGAAAGTGGACCTCAGAGATTTGAGCTAAAGTCAAGCACAGCCTTGAATCACACCGGGCAAACTATATTAATTCAGCTCCTTTTCAAGCTTGACTATTAGAACTCGTAATTAATTTCCCTAGGTTATTAATGAGAAAATACAGCAAAGTAGCAAATTGCTACCATTTGCATACCAGCCTCCTGACATACGCTTACAGTTTGTTATTGCCATTTCTCTTGATATCTCCTTTTAACACAATGCACTGAATGAAGTGTTGGAAAAATAGGATTCAGAGCTGTTAACGAGAATATGGTATACAGTATTTAAATGTTTTAAAATAATAACACCTTGCTCAGGTACAATATTCCAAATGAAATCTTGGGAAGGGAATACTCATTTATCGTGATGACACATCAGCAAAGTTCCTGTGAATATAAAATGGGGTAAAATATATTCTGCTTGCATGCTTTCTGCTTTCCATTATTTATTATCTCACTTCATCCCCCTCCCTTTTTGTTGTCATTCTTTGCATGGAGTTGCACACCTCTGAGAATGAAGGTAAGCATTTCGTCCATGTTTACTTCAGTATCTGGAGCAATCACTGATAGGAGGGAATCATTCCCCTTGAGGGGTTTCATTCCTGTGGATAAAGGCTTTCGTATAAAACAGGAAAATTTAAATGTTGCAAAGACCAAAAAAAAAAATGTGTATCCAGCTTTTCTAGGACAGAAAAACACTATTTTAAATATGACCTTCCTATAATTTCAGAACGGATTTACAAAAGCCCTTTATAGATAGGAGCGTTCATCTTATTTTTCTGCCAGCCTTCCTGAAAATTCCTACCAATAATTTCACTGTTGGGAGTGTACTGCAGGAAATCCTTCTCAGCATGTTGATATTTGCACAAGGCATCTCACTGTTCTCTTGCTTGCTTCTCCCTCTCTTCACCTCTGACCCAGGAAGTATTCCCAGGGAAGGAGTTACATGTCTAAAAGTTGAAGTCTATTAATGCAAAGGACTCAAAAGACCTTGCCAGAGCTAGGAAGATTCTTTTTCAAAGTCACAGGGCCTCCTAGTGAGTCAACATACCTCTCCATCAAAGTCATAATTATAACACTCTTAATATATACAGTTTAATTATCCTTCCCCAAATCAAAAAACCTTGTAGATGAAAAGAGGAGACATTTAATAAAATGGCAATCTACATGATTGGGCTTATTTGTGATATTAGTTTGGGTTAAGAACAGGAAAGAGCTTGTGTGTATGTGTTAGTGCTTTTGTCCCACAAGCTCAAGGACTGTTTGCATGACATGCTAAACTACAGGCAGTTCTCAACTTACAACCATTCGTTTAGAAATCATTTGAAGCTAAAAAAGCACCACATAAAGCGATTTACAAGTGCTCCTCGTACTTAACAACTGTTACAGCATTCCCTTGGTCATGTAATAAAAATTTAGGTGCTTAGCAATTAGTTTGCATTTGCAGTGGTTCAGCGTCCTGGGATCAGGTGAACTCCATTTGCAACCTTCCCAGCCAGCTTCCAACAAGCAAAGGCAATGGGGAAAGCTGTGTTTGCTTAATGTCCCCATGATTCACTTAGCATTCATGGCAAAAAAAAAATGGATTGTAAAGTCAGGCATGACTCACATAAAAACCCATCTTGCTTAACAATGGGAATTCTGATCCCAATTCTGAACATAAATCGAGAACTAGCTGTGAAGTAAGAGGGGAAGGGGTAGTAATACTGGTGCTGGTGGAGAGATAAATAATACACAAATAATGCATCCTAACCCACCTATCCCATGGTGGTTGTGTCTTAAACCAGGTATTCCAAGTCAGCCCTGTACCGTGGCTGTGAAAAAGAGGGTTAAACATGTCTCCATGCTGGCTGCACTGTCAGGGCACATTCTAGGTACTTCCTGATTATTTTTCTTGTTTCTACTTTCTCTGCCTCTAATGCTCAGATTGCAGCCATGTAGGATAAAATGGACATAAAGAACCTGACTTTAAAAAGCAGGAAGTGATGGTCACTTATTGAGGTGAGACTGCCTGACTGGTAGTCTGCTGCTGGCTTATAGACATTCAGAGAGGATAGCATTAGGCTGGGTTAATTGTGCAACGCAAATGTAGCTCATCAGTCCAGAAACCCACAATCTAGTAGAATTAGTAAATAGGCTCCCAGGTAATAGGAACGTACTGTTAAGCTCTATTTTTCCTCCACTCCAGAAAATTCTGCTTTTGGCACCATCTTCTGTTAAAAGAATTCTAATTTGGCTTTTAGAAAACGTGACTCCCAACTGTCCAGGGCATTGTCAATTACTGGAATTCAGCGAGTAGCAGCACGCACCAACAAAGACTTTGTGGGCCTGTGCTGAGAATACTTGCATATCTTTCGTTGTTCCTCCCACCTGTGGGATGCACAGAAACAAAAAATAATTGCAAATAAAGCTTTTGTGTATTATTTGTTTTCCCCATCTTACCAGCGCTGACTGTTGTATGCCAACTGTGATGGGTTAGCCCTCTGTCTGCAAGCTCGCAGGATACATGGATTAAAGTACAACAGTATTGGAACCCCGGGGGTGGCAGTTGTTTCTAAGATTTTCCTTAAATATAAGTAATGCTGCCTTTTTGAAATGTGCAAATTTTTAAAAAACGTACAGATTGAATTTTGTCTTGTTAATGTCAAAAGTATAATTAAATTGTATTACTGTCTTTCGATCTGGCTTAGGAAATGTTTTTCAAGCATATGGCATGGAGGTGGGGAATTGGTACAAATTCTGCTTTGATAATGATCCTTTTAGATGATATACATGTGGCTGGGGCGCTTGCCAAGCATGTATACCACGAAGCAGCTTGCAGATATATTTTTTTCTTGGTAAAACCAAGGAACTCTTTATGAATGCTTCATACCCTGTCACTTCTTGGCTGCCTTTCAGTGTTGGCATGCAGCAATCTCTAGCAACAGCAAGCATCTAAAATGGCAGCACAATACAAGGTTCCTTGAATGAAGGAATATTAGAAGTTATTTTGTAATAAAACATTACATCTCCCTCTCTTTCTGTTACACACACCCACATTCCTACACATTCACCCCCCAAAATGATGCAATTTCATTTTCAATATTTGCTGGCTCAGTTTTGTGATTCAAACTCAGGCTTCAAATGTTGACTTTTAAGCTTTTAAAAATCATAGCTGTTTTCCCTTATTTCTGGAGGCAGGTTTCTTCTGCCTAGTTCACGCATCACTTAAGATCAGACCAGCTTGTGATTGTAATGGTGGTGGTGCTGCTGCTGCAGCAGGCAGAAACTGGTTTTCTTGATGGTGATTGCACCTAAGCTTCTGCATGTTGTATCTGAATGACATGTCTAAGTCTGGGCATAGGGATGGAAAGAGTGCAAAGCCTTTATTCTCATTAAATGCTGCTTTGATTTATTTTGTCTTTGATATTGAGAATTCAGTATGTTTACATTTTGTATTTAAGTAAGTTTTGTTTTGTTTATTTGCAACAACCACTTTGTTGTTAAAGAAGAGAGGTTTAAACAGAGGTGAGAGTTAAGCCGCCCTGAGTCCGGTGAGGAGAAGGGCGGGATACAAATCAAATTATAAATAAATAAATAAATTATAAATAAATAATTGGGGGAAAATGCAACTGGTTACAGTAGAGATCTCTGCATTCAAAATAACTGCGCCAAAAACATGAGCTTGTCCGACCCCTTGGTTTAAATGCAATGTCCAAAACACAATTTCCCATTTTTTAAAATCAAGAAGTATTTCTGTGCTCGGGTGGGTACATTTTTTACTGTCAGCATCTCATATACCTCTTAGTGGACACTGAGACTTTGGCAGGGTTCAAAAATCAGAAAATCCCCAAGGAGGAGCATGACGCTTCAAGGACATAATGATTTTCTTTTAGTATAGGAATACTCCGGGCTTTTTTTCTCATAGAATGCCCAGAACGGAGTTCCGGCACCTTTTTTGGATGGAACCTTGTAGAGTAGGCAAGGCGGGTTGTATGACGTGTATGAGTTCCGGCACCTTTTTTTTTTTTTAGAAAAAAAGCACTGGGAATACTCAAGTTTCAACTACTATATATGCATTTTGACATTTAATAATAATAGTGTTCAGTATGTAATAGGTAGATGTGTGCATCACAAAACACACACACACACACACACACACACACACACAGAGAGAGAGAGCTTTGTTTTCAATTCTTTAGTATTTTGGGAGATTTGCCAAATGGTTCTTGGTAAAATGTATTTTGGGAGAACCAAAACTCAGAACATTTTGATTGTTCCAGGTTTTAGTCAAAAACAATCTGGAGGGTACTTATGAGGCGAATCGGGCAAAACTAGTGAACCCCACCTTCCTCCCTCTCTTCCTCCCTCCCTCCCTCTCTTTGTCTTCTGCATTGCCTATATGCTGGACCACTGCTGATCTTCCCAGCACTTTCCTTACCCCCCTTTACCTATGGTCAATAGCCTGGGATCTTTCCTGTCTCCTTCCCCCAAACTGATCCACCTGCAACTGGCTATTCCACGCTGGACCAAGTCACACTTTCCTAGTTATGAGTCACAACTCCTAT